GGAAGATCCCTATCTGCCCAGTTATCGCTCAGGTCCCTTTAAATAGAACCATCCATTGGTGAATCAATTTACTCTGTATACTACACGAAATTTTGTGTGTTTAATTGGTTTTGCTGTTTTCTTTGTTTTGGGGCACAGTCCACGGTTCTCCTGGCTCTGTGCTAAAGGATAGAGTCAGGGGCCTTGGGGTACTGTGGACTGAAACCTCTTGGCAACTTAAAATGTTGGTGCCTCACCCCCAGAACTTTTGCACCAGTCACTCATGGTGTTTGCATTTTCTTTTTTTCTTAGGGATTAGGGATTTTTCCTGCCTGTGTATTCAGTATCCATACCTGGCCTTGCTCCAAGACCATATGGGCTGCCTGGGATCAAACTCACATGTGTATGCAGCGCTTCTGTCCTATGTGCTGTACTATCTCTCTCCCACCACAGTGGATTTGATATCTCGTCTCTCAACCATTAGACGCGGCCCTATTTCAGTGCTTGGATTTACTTCTAATGGTTCTTGTGAGATTTCAGCAGGACTTAGGGTTTTCTCCTGGACTCTGCACTCAGGGATCACTCCTGGCTGGCATGAGGGACCCTAGATGATATCGCGTATCGCAACTGGATTGGCCGTGAGATACTCCTGCATTGTTCTCTTTCTGGGTACATTTTTTTTGTAGGAGTACTGCTATTTATTCAGCCACTGATTAGCTGATTGACTTGTGCATGAACTCCACCTTACTTTTTTTTTCATTGTTTATAAATTTATTTATTGAATCATCGTGAGAGCATTTACAAAGCTTTTTGGTCTAAGTCTTGGTCATAAAATGAAACACCTGTACCTTCACCAGTGCCCATTCTCCACCACCAAAAACCCCAGTATACCCCCATCCCACACCCTCCCCCTACCTGTGGGGCAAATGATTTCCACATTACTCTCTCTCTACTTTGATCACATTTAATATTTCGACACCAGACACACTATTATTATTTGAGATTTTACCCCAACACTCAGATCTGCTGAAAAGGCAACAATAGACAATTTGTGTTCTATTGCTGGTTATGAATAACATATGATGTCTCGTGGCTGCAGTAGGGCCATCTGGCTTTGAAATTATGAAATTTTAACACTAAAATCTGGTTGAGTTCTGCCAAAAGCCACTGAGTTTCGAGATCTACTCCTGAGTCTCTGGGATCATGGCCATTGAGCAGCTTGTTGAGAAGCCAGAGAGGCCATTCGTGGGTGATGACTTGGGGTCTTGTGGGGGTGGGGAGGACAGGCCCGGCTCCACCCCATCCCGTGAGGCCCAACAAGTTTCGTCACTGTGGGCCCAAGCCTGATTGTCCAGTGGCCTCTGGAGGAAGACGGCCACCGAGCCACCAGAAGGAAACAGGTGGAGGTACAGCACCCTTCCCCCCCTGGGGTGGCCTGGCGACAGTAACCTACTGCGGGGTCCGGATACATTTCTACCAAAAGCCGCTGGGTTTCAGGATTTGTTTCTGAGACTCTGGGATCAACGCCGTTAAGCAGCTTGATCAGGAGCCAGAGAGGCCGTTCGTGGGCGATGACTTGGTCTCGTTGGAGTGGGGAGGACAGGCCCGGCTGCCCCCTCATCCTGTGAGGCCCAACAAGTTTCGTCACTGCGGGACCAAGCCTGACTCTCTAGTGGCCTCTGGAGGATGACGGCCATGAAGCCACCAAGAGAGAGCAGGCGGAGGGACAACACCCTTTCTTCCCTGAGGTGGCCCGGCCACAGTAATGTACTGTGGGGTCCGGACGCATTTCTACCAAAAGCCACTGGGTTTTGAGATTTGTTTCTGAGTCTCTGAGATCATGGCCATTAAGCATCTTGATCAGGAGCCAGAGAGGCTATTCGTGGGTGGTGACTTGGGGTCTCGTTGGGGTGGGGAGAACAAGCCTGGCTCTACCCCCATCCCATGAGTCCCTGTGTGTCTCGTCACTGGGGACCCAAATCTGACTATCCAGTGGCCTCTGAAGGATGGCGGCCACTTGGCTGACACGGGGAACAGGCCAAGGCACGAAACCTATTCCCACCTGGGTTGGCCCAGCACCAGTAGCCTACTGCACGGACTGGACGCGTTTCTACCTAAAGCCGCTGGGTTCTGAGATTCGTTTCTGAGTCTCTGGGATTACGGACATTAAGCAGTTGAATCAGAAAACAAAGAGGCCTTGCCTCCAATTATATAGCTGAGCCGGAGGTGGTTTGTGGGTGTGTTTCCCACATACCTAACTTTTGGCTGTTTACTTTCTTGGTAAACTTTGCCCCAAGTTTTTGGGGTCTGGCCAAAGGCACAGCAGCAATTTTGGGGTATCTGGAAGTCTGAAGGCACCATCAGGCTGCTGATGCACTCGCCTCACAGGTACAAATTGATCTACTGGCGGCACCATACCCCCGTCTGGATACATGTTTTAGCTTTAAAAAAATAAGGGTCTCTTGCCACCCTTAGCCATTTCCAGATTTATTATGCACTTAGTTTTACTGAAATCTGTGATGAGGTCATGAGGGGCTCAGGAATCTCCATGTGCTGCTGGGCCTAGAGAGACAGTACAGGGAGGAAAGTGATTTTTTTGCAAGCGGCGCACGTGGGTTAAATTCCCGGCAACCCATGTCATCCCCGAGCACCAGCAGCATTGATTTCTGAATACAGAGTTAGGAGTCACCCCTGAGCATTGCCACGTGAGACCCCAAACAAGATAAAAACCAACAATATATTGTGCTGATCAAACACCTGTCGGCCATACACAAGGCCAGGTCTAGAGTATTTGTGGTATTTTCTTGGGTCTTACCTCTCGAAAACTAGAAATATGTGGCATTTTGGAAATGGACATTCTATTCATGCCTTTCATATATTTGCCCAGTTATATCAGGAAAACATGGGGATTTACCTTTCACCTTTTCCCTGTCACTTATCCATGCCTCTGTCTCTGTCGGGCAGGGCACTCTGGCCTGAAGCCTGCGGTGATCTCCTGGCTGGAAGGAGGAGCCCTGAGGTTGGGGAGGAGAGAAGTGTGTACGGGTGAGTGTCTGAGGAACCTTCCTGGCTCAGGCCCTGTGCAGTGAATGGGTGCACTGAGCATGCAGGAAACACACTGCTGAGACTGGGGCCTTGGTCTTCTGGATTCTTGGGTCTGTGCCGCACTCACGCTGCTCTTCATTCCCCTGGACTGTCAGTCACAGAATGATCCTGTAATTTGTTTCCATGGCTTTCGAATAAGTAAGATCATAACAGAGCTAGTTTGGATCTGAATGATAGTACAGCAGGGAGTGCCTTGCAGCGCCTGAATGTGACCTGTTCAATAATCTGTTCAATAACCTGGTTCCCCGAACATTACCAGGTCTGCTCAAAAACAAAAACAAAACCTGTAGAATTGCCAAGATCCTCACAGTTTTCCACTATCCGAATCTTTTCTTTAGTGTGGGACTCTTTGGAATTTGAGAACCACAGAGATGTACTCTTAACTACATGGTATCATTTTGCTACATTTTTTGACAAGTGCTTGAATTGCATGTTTTGTTCAGTTTCAGAACTGAAACCGCGGCTTCAGGATTTGGCATTACAGCACTTTGATTTGGGAATGGGGTCCGCAAGTACGAGTGAGTTGGTAAGATTGGCTAATTCAGAATAAATATTATTATGCCAGCAGGAGTGGACCAAGTATGTGATTGTTAAGGTGGAAGGCTGGGAATGGCAGGGAGGAATTCCAAAGCCTGATGCTTGGAGTAGAGGACCCTTAGCTTCACTGGGTGCTGAAATCAACCATGTTTAAAAATACTGTGAGTTTTTATTTGCTTGAAAGTGGTAGTTGTTTAGAAAGCTGATTTCTGTGCCCTAGAGATGGTGCAGTGAGAAATAGAATTGCTTTGCACATGGACGGATATTCCTTACCCAGCACACCTTATAGACAGCATAGACCGACAAAACTGGTCCTAGACACTGCATGGTGTGCCCCTCTACCCACCCAACCCCCAATAAATAGAAACTGCAAAACAAAGGAAAAAAAACTTTATTGATCCTGAAAGGCATCAATTGTGGTGAGAGCTTTGCAATGGCCACATGGTCTGTCTCAGCTGTGGGACGATGCAGCGTTGTCTTCACCCCTGCATCACAGGTTCCACACTGAGCTTTAACCAAACCCACATGTGGATATATTTCATTTTCTCTTGAAATGGATGTATCCGTTTTCTATAGAAGGAATTGTTTCCAGTTGTATTCCTTCATTAATTTAAAGGGGAGGAAGTCACAGAATTTACTGACTCTCTATCCATCAATTTTGTGCGTCCAACTTACAGTAACATGAAGTTATTCAATAGTAAGACAATTCATATGTCAGTAATTGCATTTGTGCGGTGCATATGTGTGAAACCACATCTGAAGGGCTCAGTTTTTTTGACAGGAAGACTCAGTGAATATGTCAATAATTAGAATCCTCTGTTGTTCTACAGGAAAGCTGCCACCCCGAGTGGAATGTCTCTGATCCTGCACTGTATGATAATGTCTCGAGTGATCAGTCCTGCTCTCAGCCCCCTGAGGACGACGAGACAGGCGGGATGTCTACTGAGAGTGATCAGAATGGCAAGAGCTACCTCACTTTGAAGAAGCCCTCTCCTAGAAAAAGTTCCTTGGAGTGTGTTATTCTCAGTTCACAGACACAAAATTCCCAGGTGGGGCACCTGCTAGGGAGAGAAGCACTGTTTATAGTGAGTCCCTCACAGCAACATACCCTCAACCACAGTCACTGTGAGCAGAACCCATCTAGGTGTAAGGAATGTGGGGGAACCTCCCCATTTTCTCAGCACTATGGTATTCCCTTAGAAAACCACAGTGGACAGAATCCCCAGAAAAGTCAACCCCGAGAACAAAGTGTGAGTCAAGAGTTACTCCATCATGACTTTATGAATATAAATTCAGGAGCGAAACCTTTTGCATGTGAAGCATGTGGGAAGGCCTTCGATCAATCATCACATCTTATTATGCATAGGGGAATTCATACAGGAGAGAAACCTCATGAATGTCAGACATGTGGAAAGGCCTTTATTCAGACCTCTAGTCTTAATAGACCTCTGAAAACCTATAGTGGAGAGAAGCCTTATATATGTCAGGAGAGTGGTAATGCCTTTACTCTATCCTCAGGCCTCAGTATATATAGAAGTATTCACACTGGAGAGAAACCATATATGTGTAAGGAATGTGGAAAGGCCTTTACTCAATCCTCCGGCCTCAGTATACATAGGAGAATTCACACTGGAGAGAAACCGTATATATGTAAGGAATGTGGGAAGGCCTTTGATGTAGCCTCAACTCTTAGTGAACATAGGAAAATTCACACTGGGGAGAAAATATATATATGTAAGAAATGTGGAAAGGCCTTTGCTAGACCTTCAAAATTTACTGTACATAGGAGAATTCACACTGGAGAGAAACCGTATATATGTAAGGAATGTGGGAAGGCCTTTGGTGCAGCCTCAAGTCTTAGTGTACATAGGAGAATTCACACTGGAGAGAAACCGTATATATGTAAGGAATGTGGGAAGTCCTTTGCTGTAGCCTCAAATCTTAGTGTACATAGGAGAATTCACACTGGAGAGAAACCTTTTATATGTAAGGAATATGGGAAGGCCTTTGTTGTAGCCTCAATACTTAGTGACCACAGGAAAATTCACACGGGAGAGAAACCATATATATGTAAGGAATGTGGAAAGGCCTTTACTAGATCCTCAGGCCTCAGTATACATAGGAGAATTCACACTGGAGAGAAACCGTATATATGTAAGGAATGTGGGAAGGCCTTTGCTGTAGCCTCAACTCTTAGTGAACATAGGAAAATTCACACAGGGGAGAAACCATATATATGTAAGGAATGTGGAAAGGCCTTTACTAAATCCTCACGCCTCAGTATACATAGGAGAATTCACACTGGAGAGAAACCGTATATATGTAAGGAATGTGGGAAGGCCTTTGCTGTAGACTCAACTTTTAGTGAACATAGGAAAATTCACACAGGGGAGAAACCATATGTATGTAAGGAATGTGGAAAGGCCTTTGCTACATCTTCAAAACTTACTGTACATAGGAGAGTTCACACTGGAGAGAAACCGTATATATGTAAGGAATGTGGGAAGGCCTTTGCTAGAGCCTCAAAACTTACTGTGCATAGGAGAATTCACACTGGAGAGAAACCGTATATATGTAAGGAATGTGGTAAGGCCTTTGCTGAAGCCACAAGCCTTAGTGTACATAGGAAAATTCACACTGGAGAGAAACCGTATATATGTAAGGAATGTGGGAAGGCCTTTCCTACAGCCTCAAAACTTACTATACATAGAAGAATTCACACTGGAGAGAAACCGTATATATGTAAGGAATGTGAAAAGGCCTTTGCTACAGCCTCAAGCCTTAATGTACATAGGAGACTTCACACAGGAGAGAAACCATATATATGTAAGGAATGTGGCAAGGCCTTTGCTGGAGCCTCTAGACTTACTGCACATAAGAAAATTCATCTCAGAGAGAAACCTCATCAGTGTCAGACATGTGGGAAGGCATTCACACGGTTCTCTTCCCTTAGTCTACACATGAGAATTCATAATGGAGAGAAGTATTAGGTATGTCTGGAGTGTGGAATGGCCTTAACTTCATCCTCACAACTGACTGTACATAGGAGAATTCACAGTGGAGAGAAACCATATATATGTAAGGAATGTGGGAAGGCCTTTGCTACAGCCTCAAATATTAGTGTACATAGGAAAATTCACACTGGATAGAAACTGTATATGTAAGGAATGTGGGAAGGCCTCTGTATGGCCTCAATACTTAATGTAGCCCTCACACCTTAATAAACAAAAATATATACTGGATGGTTTGATCCCTTAATAACAGTCTCTAATGACAGAACAGGACAAGTCATTCAAGCAAGTTTCCTTTGGACACGAAGGTCAAGGGTATTTGTTTAAAAAAGTGCAGTTAAAAGGGAAGTAAGCCTGCCTGCTTTGGGACAGGCTTCTCCTCATGTCAGTGAAAGGTACCTGCTGATTTTCACCCTGGCTACACCTATGCCAGTATTCTTGTGCTTGGAATTGCTTGTGTGTTAACTTGTAAATAATGGGTCCTGGTGATGAAAATAAGGAGGAAGGTGACTGAATGAACAGGTACAGAAACACTCCCCTGCTCAGAAGTGTCAGAGCTCACTACTCTTATAGTTTTCTATGCTTCTGGCTTGGCCCCCAGGGGCTGGTTAGCGAGAATTATGGCAGAAATCAACCAAGATGCTGCGATGAATACTTTGAAAATGGAAAAACAGGTAAACCTTCATTCTTCATTCTTTCCTGTGTTAGGATTTGGAATGCTTGGCGCCCCGAAAATCCCGGTTTGAGAACTTGAGCAGCAGGTCACGCCATGCTTGTTTTTACTTTTTCTGGATATCCAGGCTTTAGGGGATGTGGAGCTTTTGAGGGGTGCGTTGGGGGTTGTTCTGTGGTGCAGGTGCCATGGGTGAGGGTGCGTTATCCTGAGGGCCTCTGCAGCCACGATCACATCCAGGTCCAAGATGGCACTGGAGGGTGGGCACATAGACTTAAGGCCTTGGTGTGAGGAGCCTGCAGAGAGGGGGATCATGGCCATCTCATTCCTCCCTACTCGAGACTGTGCAGGACCCTCTTTGGAGCCTTTGGACTGGACATAACACTAATCGAAACTCCAGATATTTTCATGGACAGTCCCCAAAGGAAAGGGACACTTTTGCCGTCGGTCATTTTCATTGGCTTCCGTGCTGGGGTTGGGTCTTTGGGGCGCATTTGGACAAGTGAGAGGTATTTGCCTCTGAAAATTTACTCTTTGGATTAATTTTTTTTTTTTTTTTTGCTTTTTGGGTCACAGACAGCTTTGCACATGGCGTTACTCCTGGCTTATGCACTCAGGAATTACTCCTGGTAAAGCTCAGTGGACCATATTGTTGCTGGAATTTGAATCGGGTTGGTCACGTGCAAGTCAAATGTCCTACCCGCTCTGCTATCACTTCAGCCCCTCTTTGGGTTAATTTTAATAGCTTCTTTTTTTCAGGGGAGTTGGAAGGGATTCTTTGATGCTCAAGGTTACTTCTGGTTCTGCAGCTCAGGAATTATTCTGTGGTGCTGCTGGGTTCTTATGTGATGGGGATGTTTGACCTGGATCAGCAAGGCAAGCATCCTACTCGCTTTACAGTGAGTCCAACCCCACTATTGGTGTTTTTTTCATATATAGAATTTCTACTTCTCGGGGGTATGTTACCACCAGCAAGTCAATCTGTGTCTGTAAGGTGAGTCCATAAACAGCTTGATGGCACCGTCAGACTTCCAGATACCCCAAAATTGCTGCTGTGCCTTTGGCCAGACTCCAAAAACTTTGGGCAAAGTCTTCCAAGAAAGTAAATGGCCAAAAGTTAGGTATGTGCGAGACAGACCAACAAACCATTTCTGGATCAGCTATATAATTAGAGGCAAGATCTCTGTGGTTCCTGATCAAACTGCTTAAAGGCTATGATCCCGGAGACTCAGAAACAAATATTGGAACCCAGCGGTTTTCAGCAGAAATGTGTCTGGTTCCCACAGTAGGTTACCAAAGCTGGGTATTTCACGTGGGAATAGGTTTCGTGCCTGGTGGCTCAGTGGCCACCATCACTAATGGCTTCTGGACGGTTAGGTTTGGGCCCTCAGTGAGGAGACATGCAGGGTCTAACGGGATGGTGGTGGAGACGACCCTTTTCTCCCCACCCCAACAAGACCCCGAGTTGTCTGGTGCCCACGATTGGTCTCTGTGCCTCGTGATCAAGGTGCATAATGGCCATGATCCCAGAGATTCAGAGACAAATCTTGAAACCCAGCGCCTTTTAGTAGAAATGCATCTGGACCCTGCAGTAGGTTACTGTCCCCTGGCCACCCCATTGGGAATTGGTGCTGTCTCTCCACCTGCTCTCCCTTGGCGGTTCGGTGGCCTCCATCCTCCAAACGCCATTGGAAAGTCAGGTTTGAGTCCACACCCATGAGATATGTGGGGCCTCTCAGGATGGGGTGGAGCCGGCCCTTTCCTCCCCTCCCCAACAAGACCCTATGTCATTCCAGAGAACCGCCTATCTGGCTCGTGATAAAGCTGCTTAATGGCCATAATCCCAGGGACTTAGGAACAAATCTCGGAAACCAGCTGGTTTGGCAGAAATCCCTCCAGATTTATTTGTTAAAATTTCAGAATTTCAAATTCATACGTTATTTATAACCAGCAATAGAAAAAGAATTGTCTACTGTTGCGTTTTCAGCAGATCTGAGTGCTGGGGTAAAATCCCAAATAATAATGGTGGGTCTCGTGTCAAAATATTGACTGTAATCAAAGTAGCAAGAGTAATGTGGAAATTATCTGCCCCACAGGTAGGGGGAGGGTGTGGAATGGCGGAATACTTGGGTTTTTTAGTGGTGGAAAATATGCGGTGAAGGGACAGGTGTTTCACTGTATGACCGAGACTTAAACCTGAAAGCTTTGTAAGTGCTCTCCCGTTTTTTTCCCGTTTTCTACCATATATTTAGAAATGGCCAGAGCAATAGTAGAGCAAGTAGGATGCTTGCCTTGCATGTGGCCAACCCAGGAGTCTTCCAGTCCACAAAATCTTTGAGTTGCTCATTGGACATTGAGTGTCCCCTTCTCATCCCTAGAACATGTGATGTGGGGGTGCGGCATGGGGTAGGGGAGTCTTCTCCCCGGAGCTATTCATTACGGAGAGATCCTGTGCTTTGCTTTCTTGACTTTGTTGTCATTCTTCCTCATCTGTCAGGGATGTCTAATAGTCCATGTGTTTCAAGGCCCTTGTTTCCCCGGCTGTATAACTAGCCTGACTGTACTCCTAAAGGGTCGGGTACCTTTTCTGGACCCCGCTCAGTTAATCTGACACCATGCTTATCTTTGCCTTTGGATCATTGCCATGTTTTTTGAATATAGAAAGAAGTTTAGTTTTCTTTTGTTTTGGGGCCTGGGGATGCTCAGCAGTTATTCCTGGTGGTTCTCGTAAGTTGCTTTTGGCAGTGTTCAAGGATCAACCCCTGTCAGCCTCATGCAAGGCAAATGCCTACCTGCTGTACGCTTGTACGCACCAAAAATTGTTTTATTGTGTGTATGTTAAATTGTGACTGCGAGCCCATAGTGAAGTTAATTAGGACCAGAACAGCAGTGCATCACGGAGGGTGCTCACCTTACAAATGCTGCCTACCTTCGATGTCCAGCATCCCCTATGGTATCCCAAGCATCACTGGGTCTGATTAAAAACAAAACCCAAAAGGCTTTTTTGTGGATTGCTGAGCTCCTCCCAGCAACACTTCCCGCAGATTTTTCCTTTATGTAGGCTTGATTGGACTGTGAGAACTATGGAGATGTCCTCCACATGCTTGGTCATTCAACACTGGAATAATTCTCATTGTGCATTTTGTTTGATTTCAGAACTCAAATCACAGGTTCAGGATGTGGCATTACAGCAGTTTCCTTTGGGAACAGGGGAATTGCATACAAGTGTGCTGTAGGATTCTCTTGTTGAAACTATTATGCCATTGGAGTGCTCAGTCACCGAGCATGCAACTTGAAAGGTGGGGTCCGGCTCCATCCCCACAACCACATCTATGGTCTCAGCACCACAGGAAAAATATCGGAGCCTAATTCTGGGACTAGAGGGTCTTTAACCTCAGTGGGTTCTGAATTCTGGAAATTTATTTCATTGTATTGTTTTTTAAAGTTTTCATTAAAGTGCCAGGATTTTCAAAGTTATTGATAGTTGTACTTAGGCGTACAATACTTGAACACCAATGCCTGAATCAGCTTCCCTCCACCCGTGTTCCCGTATTCCCTCCCCACCCCAGTCCTCACTCTACCCCCGCCTGTCATCTGGACAAGAACATGACTACGTTTCAGTGGTTACGGCTTAGATCTCTTGTTTTCAGTTCTGTTGCATCTGTGTTTTGGGTAAATGACTACACCTCTCACTCATATCACTGGCATAAATGAATTCCTGATCCCTGTAAACTTCCGGGTCTCTTCCGCCCCAAATTTCTTTCCTTCTTTGTCCGGCTCCTCTCTAAACACTGGAATCAGGGATGATTTAAGCAGCCCCTTTACAGTACATTTCCACATCCAGTGTTTGGTATTCCACAGGTGAGTGACATCATCCTGTTTTTGTTTTATTTTTCTGGCTAACTTCACTCAAGACGGTATCTTCCAGTTCCAACCGTGTTGCTGCATAAAAGCAGTAATTTTAAAACCTAAAAAATATGTATTTATTATTTATTTATTTATTTATTTATTTTTGCTTTTGAGGTTATATCCAGCGATGCTGAGGGGTTAATCCTAGGTCCCCGCTCAAGAACTATTTCTATTGGTGCTTGGGGACCATATCAGATGCCTGGAATTGAAGCTGGGCTGGCTGTGTGCAATGCAAATGCCTACCCCTGCACTAACCCCCCCAAAAAATTCTTTTTATTCTAGGGTAAATAATGTGACTTTACATTTGATAGGCAGCAAGGACAAGTGTGATTTCTGAAATGAATCGATGGTTCAGCACTAGTGGTTTTGCTTTAGGAAAGGCACTTGCTTGGCACCAGGAAGAAAACTTTGGTTTGATCCCAGCACCCCACATGATCCCCAGAGTCCCAGCAGCAGGAATCCCTGAGCAATGGTGTCGTGACTCCCCACCTAAGTAAATAGAACGAGATAACAGAAAACTCATTCCTCATCCTGGAGAGGAATCTGCTTCAGGTGAGATTGTGTGAGGATGCATCATTGCCTTCGCACGTGTATCCCCCTAAGCTATCCCACTAAGCTTCACACTGAGCTAGTACCAAACCCAGTCTCAGGCCCCTTTTATTTTCACCCTAAACTGGTGCTTCAATTTTCTGCAGAGGGAATTATTTCCACTTACTGTATCTGTTCTTTGAGTTGAAAAAAAACTTACACAGCTATGTG